TCATTTTTAAAATGTTAAATCATCTACTGAGCTTTGTCGATTTTTGTTTCTGTAGTTTACACTTTCCCAAAAATCGCTTTACCAAGATTTATGCTACAGCAACAAGTTACAGAAACAAGTTTTGAAAGCATAACGAGATTGCATCTGTCTGTTCACTCAAGAATTCATAACATCATTCTATCTGATGCCTAATTAAATATTATATACATGAGTGAGTAAACCATTAAGCATCGTCGTAATTCAACTAGATGAAATAATTGAAAATTAAAGACAAAGTTATAAGTTTCTTGGAAAAATTTTGAAATCTCAAATAGGTAGCTAATTTTTCTTCTCTTAAAAAAACATTTAAAAAATAACAAAATAGATTAAATAAAGATTCTATTAAATCGGAATTCCTATTAAAGAGCAATCATGTATTGATATATGAATAATGTGTACGATGCATGAATAACAATATTCTATTGATTCTTTAATATACCTTGCAACTTTATGAGAAAAGACAATAACGTACAAACGATATCGGCAATTTTCCTAGCGATGGCAGGAGCCATTTCCATACGAAAGCTATAAAAAAAAACGACGACAAGAAATAAGAAAAAACATCGCGCCGTTGAATCTATAATTCAATTTGTTTCACACACATGCAAGAAGCAAAAGACAAAAAGGCGATGATACCGAATTGAATCTGCATTGATTTATTCGACTTTTCTTCTTATAAGAAGAAAAGCTCGCAATACGAATAGCAATTTCTCTCAAGGAGAAATCAACCTGATGAGATACCAAAGGTTACGTCATGACAGGAAATTGTGTCGCATCGCTTTTGAGCGCTACTTCATTAACAGCAATGGAGAACGTTGTTTGAAAATAGGAACACAGTACATCTTGCCGATATTCTGTCCACTAGGTAGAAAGGGTGCGCGAGCAATCCCATCATGTTAACTCTGCCAACAGTTAAGCAAACAAAACGACACTCCTTGACCACCTATAAGCTATATTTCGAGTTATATTTCGTAATCAAATTTAAGTTCGTGGCCAATATATGGATATAATAGACATCGCAGAATAACAATTAGCTTTCATAAATGCTAATTCAGAAATATGTACATATAGAATGATTTAGATTAAGTACATATAGAATGATTTAGTTTTAGATTAAGTACTCTAAAAGATAACGACTAATTCACATCAAGAAAATTTTATACGATCATATAGATATCCAAAACGACTTACAATTAGTTTCAAAGATACAGGATGCATCAAGTTAAAAGAAAAACTGTAAATTGAATACTCGATATCTTAGTCATTTCGAATATACGAAATGTTTACTTTACAGGTAATCGTCGTACAACATGTGGACGTCTGTATGTTCAGTAACGGCAAATTCAAGAATGTTGTAGCTCTTGTAAGCTCGCAAGAGGATTGTCCTCTGGGTCCAGGTGGTAATTTGCGAAAAATTTACACTCTCAGGCTTGTTAAGGGCACAACTAAAAATTGGATCGCATTGGAGGACAGCTATGCGAAAACCGGAGCAAGTCTGGCATCAACGGTTACTAATCCTCGGAACGGACCTGATGATAGGAACGTTTATACGATTTACGTATCTTATTATGTGAAGGTAATTTTAAATATAAAAAAGGAAATAAAGATCGTCAGATAGACCTACATTATAGGAAATAAATATATAATTTTCACCTAAAACATTACAAGACCTGAACTATTGCAAAAAAGTATGAACTTTTGATTAAGAACAAATTTTGGAAAAAATTTATTATATGATATATTAAATGCTTTATTTCAAATAAAAATGAATACAAATAAAATATAGTTTGTCATTACCGAAAACACGTATTGTTACATTAATTAATGCAATATTATTTTAAGGAAAAATAAGACATCTTTTTCATCGATTCATATCCATTTAATTTAAGCAAATTGATTTATTTTGGATTGACAACTATTTAACTTTAATTACCAATTTAATAAATTATAATATGAAATTATTACAGAATATTATAAAAAATATCTCATGAAGATTCTCAATTTTTTATCATTTTTTCTTTAAGATCAAATTGTTCATCTCAGCGATGGGTGGTGAAGTATCTTTGAAGCTACCATTCACGCTGATGCACAGTAACATAGATGCGGATCTTGTGGGATTCCCGTCCCCTACTCGAGAGGTATCAAAAGAATTTGAAAAAAGCACGAATGAAAACACAGAGAAATCTACTGATAGCAGTAGTAGTCATCAAAATAAGGAGAATAAGCTGGAGGCTATTAAAGAACAGAAGGAATCAAAGGTAACCGATGTGGATCTAATAGAGCATTACGAGGAAAGCGACAGCACCTGAGAGCGGGCGCAACAAGGCGACGCGATGTCGCGGCCGTCTGTCAGAAAAAGCAGTGATGCGAAGGTTATCAAGAATTCCAATCACAAAACTTGTAGACTCAGCGTCAGCATTCAACGAGCTTGGTGTTGCTTCAGAAGGGCCTCTTAGTAAACGAATGGAATTCTCGAAGCATCAGTGACAATTGAGCATTTTGCTTTGCACCATCGCATCCTTGTGATTTTTCTTATTTTCAAAGAAATCTCGTAACGATTGTACGAAATAAAATAAAATAAAATAAAATAATGTATAGTGAATTCTGTTAATTGAATAAGTCGTTAAAATCATTGGATGTATACATAAATATGGATATCTTTTTTTTAATAAAATGCAGATTCGGAAGATATCAAATATATGCAATCTTGAGAAAACACTAAACACTTATTTCGCTTTATATTTCGTAGAAAAAATTGTATAGAAGCGCGATTAATTAAAATACTGTATTTTCGTGAAAGATTGTGAAAATTGTACGCCATGCGTTTATATCATTCATATTATATTATCATATAGATTGTAGCAGAATTTTAATCGCTCTCAATAAAAGAGGAACGTTTCAATTATAAACACAGTATTCTAATCTATGGTTTTAATGTGTATATCTTCGTTATAACCAAGTGTGTGAAATTGCTATTAATGTATCATACGTAAATTATATTTCTCAGTATGAAAGAAGATATATTTCATTGAAAAATTATGATCTATTAGCATTGCAATTTTTTTATCTACAGCTTTTATCAAGCAGAAAAAGATAATCTCTCCCAAGAAATATTCCTGTATATTTATAACGTAGAGTAATCTTAAGATATATATATATAATATATGTAATATATTCTTGTAAGAATTAGGAGAATTTTATCGCTATATAACTTATATACTTAAAACTTCGTGAATGTAAATCGCTTAAAAATTATTTGCGTTTATATCTTCCTACTCATTTAATATATAAGTTATATTTAATGTATAAGAATATTCCTACTGCCATTCTAATCATTTCAACCAGATTCTGAGTAATAATTCATTTCGAAAACATATGAAAGAATACGCGAGATATTGGCTGATATACATAGTTTCAATTCTTCTTTAAAATCATCTTAAGTATAGCTTTATGATGGATTTATGATGTCTTAAGCCTCAAAGAATTAGCGTAAACCCCTCCCCCCCCCCCCCCCTTTTTTTCCAATCCCTTTTACTTATTGCAAAATATCTTTTGTGTTATGACATTATATATATATTGACTTTCTAGCTCAAAAATTATTTTTTTTTAATCTTCAAACGATAGATTAAAAAAAAATAGTTAAAATCGATGCACTACAATCTGAGATACAAGCAAAAAAAAATGCTGAGTTACAAATACCCGGATGTGAGTAGATAGAGACTTTTTTAAGATATGGGTACTGAGGGTTAAGATGGTCCTTAAGATGATCTTATAAAATATAAAAAGTTGCTATGAATACTGACTACAGAATCGTATTAACATTTTAGGACATTACTTAAGATAGTCTTAAAATAAGAACAAATTATGAACCCAAATCATTTTATCATTCTTGTATATAAATTGTAAACTTAGCTTTAACCATCTATATAAAGTTATATCTATATAAATTTATATCAAATTAAAAATATCAAAAATATTTTTTCAAGGAGATAGAGATCTATTTTTTATTATAACAATTAATGTACAAATTATCCCACACTAGATGAAATTTGAATTGTATATTTCTCGACAATTGTAAATTTAATTTCTTTTTGAAATTTAATTTCTTTCTGACCTTTTTGATCAAAATTCTTCTCTAAACAAGAATGACAGATCTCATAACCAACGTAAAATATTTTAAAATATTGTATTCACAAATGAAAGTATATTTGAAATTAAATAAAAGAAATTATCTATGCATATCTACAACTGTAGGAACATTTTTTTTATTTTTATATAAACTTTAAATCCATTACATTTATCATTAATATTTAATGATAATGAAATACATTGCACAATTATTATAATATTTTTTTGTCTATAAGTAATATATCGACTGACCAATCAACACGCGAAAAATTACGAATTAATACAACTAATAAAAAAGTACCTAATATAATAATAGCCATTTGTAAACGGTATTAACACAAATGTCAAATAACACTTCGATTATTTCTGTATTTATAATAAAGATATGTAAAGATATACAGACTGTATCTTTAACATTGTAAGTAATAAATACAATATGTAAGTATATTGGGTTTTCAAAAAAGTTCATATGAATTCCAACAGATGTTAATCGAAATTTAATCCAAATCATTCTTAAACTTTATATAATGTGTATAATTTATAGTTACACACAGTTTATGATTATTAAATAGCTATAAACAAATTATGAATTAATTTCTCATCCATGTTTATAAGATATTTTTGTTAATTATTTAAATGTCACGTTATCGCTTCAGTGTTGCCTATCCTAGATTACAACGCTGTTTATCACATGCAATTAAGTATTGTTTTTATAGCTGAATATACCTTCTTTGCATTTAAAATGAAATAGGTATATATGACAAAAGCGAAAAAAAAAGAAAGTTCTAGTGCAACAATAAAAAATAAATTTAATATATATATTTTGGACTCACCATGCCACTGTGCTCTTGCGTATCCTCTGACAATCTTTTTGCTAGTTTTTCCAACGTCATCCTGCACGTTGATTAAAATATACTTAAATCTTCCGTAGCCATCGATGTCCACATCGGACACATTGTCCAATAACTGAGACATCCTGACGAATCGACGTATACTTACTATACCTATAACAATGTGTACACAACAATAAACACAATATACGACATAATGTGACGAACAAATTATTTCTATTTATATTTATGTATCACATCGTGTTGCAAACGAGCACATTGGCTGCTTTCTCTATTTAGTGACACAAGTCGTCACAAATATTATTCTATTTTTCTTAACATTCAATAAGAAATAAAAATAAGATGACACTTCCGTCAACTTGTACCAATAAAATCTCTATTGTTCAATAATTGAAACTTGCCGACAGCTTAACGTATACTTGTAATAAAATACATACGCATAAACATACAGAATACAACATAACCTAAAGCGAACCATTTCTATTTACATCCGTCGCATTGCTAATAACATTCTTGGCGTATTGCTAACCAAAATAACACGGAATGAACATATCTCAAATATTTTTATGCGCGACGTGTTATTTGCTGTAATTGTTACAAAATACCTCTTAGAGCAACTTGCCGGCTGCTCCGGCCGCTTGTCGCTAATCCAAACTTTAAAATTGCAGCCATGAGTGGCATCATAATTCAAACACGTGATTGGCTGATTTAATACTCTTGATTTTTTTTAAACCACACTTTAGTGCATGGTGTAAGAATAGAAGATGTAAGGTCCTGCGCACAATAGAATAAGGAATTAGGAATAAAGAATGAACAATTTTAACACATCAGAAATCGGATACATCGGAATACACAGTTTCTGATATACGATTGAAATCGTTTATTCTTTAGTATTGTTCAAATTCACTTTCCTATTGCGCATCTATGGGAGTACATCATCTTATATTCTTTCCACCATGCGTCATACGACATTTGATATTTATGTCTGTTCTACAATAGAGTCATAAGTCGTAAGCCATAAGAAATTAGCCAATCACAGTTAAGTGTAAGAAGAATAATTGACTATGATTGGTTAAATTCTTATGACTTATCGCTTACGTTCTATTGCAAAACCTTATTGTTATAATGAATGTCAGACAGTCGTATGAAGAATGTAATACTGTAAATCCTACATTTCAAGTACGCTGGGTTCATTCGGAATGACCCCGAGCAGACAAAACGAACAATGCATTTGTTCCTAATTCCTTATTCTTTTTCTCTCTCTCTCTCTCTCTCTCACCTCTCTCATCCTTATATTATGCGCAGGACCTAACATTCTCGCGAATGCGCAAGGAATATAAATTTGGATTGGCTATTCTAGTATGCTACTGCTATTGGGTCATCTAAAAACCGCAGATACTTTTTAGATGACCCAATATATATATTATAACACAAAAAAGTACAGTTAAATCCAAATTTGATTGGTTTTTTTTTCAATGGCTATCGCCATTTATTATGAGCAACGTTTTATCTTATCAGCCAAAATTCTAATAACAAAAACTTATCAAAAAGGCCACGTGTAACATAAGTGTGTTTTAAATTTAAATCGTAAGAAATCGAGGAAAATAATTGATTATAATTCATCTATTTTTTATGGCTTAAGGCTTATAGAGTTTTTCATTGGCAGAGCTGGTGTGCACTTTAAAGCCGTTGTATACAAATTGACGTAAAGATGTATGTTTAATAAAAATATAGAAACAAATTAAACCGTAAAAATCTCAATATCTTTTATTGTGGTATTTGATAAAATATACATTGGGAATTTTATTAATTAAGATACCTCACTTTTATAATACATTTAGATTAGATTACTAGTCGTCTTAAGTAATGTCTTAAGACGCTAATGCGGCCCTCTGATTGGTTCGTGACATCTCAAGACAGAACTTAAGATGGTCTTTAATATAAGAAAATATGTGAATACTGACCTTAGTTTTGTTCATAATCAACTTCATTTAATTTTTATGTAAAGGAAGTTCGCGATTACATTTCTAATAGAGTTCTTCTAGTGAGAGTTAAGACAAAAGAACGGAAAGACGTCATTGCTGAGTGCCGGGTACCAGCTGGAAACAGCACAATTCCATCATGATTGACAGTTGATAGTCCGATTTCGCGTTCGCGTCTCCTACACCATGGAACAATTGCTTATACCAATTCACAAATTCACTACCCATCGAAAGTATCTGTAAATCTGGCGGGGTTTAAAGGGAAACATTCTTGCAGTATGTCATTGAAAAATTGGCATTGATCCATAGGCTCAATCTAATGGAAGAGAACTCAATTACACTGATAATCGGTAGGATTTCGAGTGCTTCATTAAAGGCAATAGTGTTGTCATTGGCAGTTGAGATAGTTGAACAGTTCCTGGAGAAGAATACTACATGGGCTGAAAAGTCCCGGGATTTTTTAATAGGTGGTGCCACTAGAAAATGAACATGATTCATTTCGAGAGGTTCATCTGTCACTAGTTTATGTATGAAGTTTCATGACCTTTCGTTCATTCGTTTACAAGCTACAGTCGTTTAAGTGGCGTTACTTTCGCCTTCGTAAAAAAAATGGAAAAACAGGAATATCGCATCTTGATCAAACATTGTTTTTTGATGGGAAAAACTTCTGGACAATCATTGAAATGGTTGCAGAAATGTTATCCCACATCTGCTCCTTCGAGAACAACAGTTTATCGGTGGTTTAGTGAATTTAAAATGGGTCGTACAAGCACCGAAGACGCACCTCGCTCTGGAAGGCCAAAAGAGGCTACGAATGCGGAAATCGTAAAGCAAGTGCATCGAATCGT